CGTGATCTCCAATCCCCTGCTTTTTAGCATGTATCTCAGAGCTTTAAGCGCTGGGTCCTCAACTTTGCTGGTTGTGTTACCCATCTTTTTGGGTCTCACTCACCTCGGAGCTCGCTTGGCCCTGACCAATCTAGGCCCTCTCTTCGGGCCCCACGTTGGGTGCCAATTGCGGGGGTCCGCCCCAAGGTCCTGCCCTGGAGGGACCTGCCGCCATGGGGGTCAGGGAAAGGTGAGTGCCCTGTCTGCCCGTTTCGCCAGCCCTCCTCGCCAAGGACAATCAGACCCGACAGGGAGTCTTGTCAAGCAGGAATTCATTTATTGCAGGTGTCACAGAGCTTATATAGGCAAAAACCACAGTTTGGAAATCCCCTGGGAAACCCCCTCCCCCAATGCACCCAATCAGCTTAAAGGTCAACCTGCCACATGGGCAGGGTCCCATAGGCGTCCATGTTGATCACATGCTGATCATGCACCGCCCAGGGGTGCGGAAGGACTGGCATCCAATCTGATGATCTTCAGGACAGGTCAGGCCGCGCCCTGCTTACTTCCTCTAGGCGCCATCTTGGCAAGGCGGGGCCTTTAGGTCCCCACAGGATTAAGGCTCCTCATTCATTCATTCATTCATTCATCCATTCATTGAAATGGTCTTACTATGTACCCCAGCTAGCCTGGAACTTGTGGTCTGATTGTCCTGCCTCAGCCTCCAGAGTATTAAGATTACAGACACATGCTACCCTACTTGGCTCCATTTAATCCAATTACCTCCCTACACTCCTACCCCCAATGTGGTCACATTGGGTCAGAACTTCAAAATCAATCTGGAGAAACAGTTGAGTCTGTGGCAATCAGTCTGGTACCTGCTTAGAGGAGTGACTCAAAGGGTTTGTCTTTATCTTGCCTAACTTGGAATTCTGCCAGTTGCCAGAACCCATTGTTGGAAAGCTCAAAACAAATACATTAGTCACAACTACCTGGAATAGTGGGCAACAGTTAGAGACAACCAGACTAACCAAAAAGCTTGGTAGGAAAGCCTGAAGAGTGAGATAAATGCTTTGTTGAATAAGGACTTTGAGAAGCTGACATTCTTGAAGGTCTAATACCCGGTAATCAGAATGCAACCTTATTTAGAAACAGAATCACTGTACGTATAGTTAAAATGAAGGCAGACTCCCTAATCCAGTATGACTGGCATGCTAACAGGAAGACACAGACAGGAAGAACACTGTGTGACATGGAGTAATGCACTTCTAACTCGAGTAATGTTTTGGATTGTCAACTATCACCAGAAGTTAGGAGAAAGGGACAGTCTCTCTCAGGGACTCTGGGTGTTGACCCTGTTCACACCTTGCTTTTGGATTTCCAGCCTCCAGAACCATAAGAGGCTGAGTTCCTGAAGCTTCTTGGCACTCAGGTCCTGGGTCTTTGCAGCCCTAGGAAACCAGTCCAATAAGGAAATATGAAAGGCAACGTAAATATACTAGCTGTTACTCCCTGTTTTTTTTTTTTTAATCTCCAATCTGATTTAAAAGACAATAGATAAAGCAATAATAATAACCTGTGTTCCTGGGCACATAATATATGATGTAATTTGTGATGGTAACAGCATAAGAGGGAGAATGGAATCGTGGGGTCAAATTTTCATATTCTATTGAAATTAAGGGGCTATTCATCTTAATTATAAGTTAATCAAAACTAGATCATTAAACTACTATAATCCCCAAGGAAATTAAGGAAATAAAAACAGAGTAAAAGAAATGACAAGAAAATTTAAATGGTATACTAGAAAATATGTACTTAAGAATAAATTGATCAGAAACGTTTAAGAAACAGAAATCAAACAGCAAAATGGCACACAGAAATCCTTCTTGGTAACTGTATTGGATGTAAGTGAATTAAATTTCAGTTTCAAGGCAGAGACTGGCAGAATTGATTTAAAAGCATAGTAATATATGCTCTCCATAAGAGACACACTGTAGTTTCAAACACAAGTTTAAAGTAAAAGAATGGAAAAATATATTGAAAACAGAGCTGGGACCACTATACTAATAAAAAACAAAACAGACTTTAAAAACTGTTACATGAGACAAAGAAAGACATTATTAGCATTAAAAAGTCAATCCATTAAGGAGAGGGAGAGGGAAGAGGAGGAGAGGGAGAGAAAAGGAGAGAATCCAGCCAGCAACAAAGCACCAACATACATGAAGCATAAACAGAATTAAGACATAGTTTGACAATATTAGCTGGAGAGCTCAACACTCCACATTTGCTGATACACAGAGCAACAAGGGGTATCAATCCTTTAATATTGAAATATGATGCTGTCATTTTTTTTTTATGAGTGTTATGCACCATGTCATGCAATGCCTTCAGAGGACAGAAGAGGCTGTCAGATCCCCTGGAACTGGAGTTACAGTTGTTAGCTGCCTTGTGGGTGCTGGGATTCAAACCCGGGTCTCTGCAAGAACATCAGTGTTCTTAACTACTGAGCCACCTCTCCAGCCCCAATGCTGTCATTTTTACAAAGTTCATACTCAGAAACTGTGAACTTGGAAAAAAACAAGAAAAGTATCTCTCTCTCTCTCTCACACACACACACACACACACACAAATCCTATAATGCTTTAAGATTTTGTGTTAGGGGGCTGGAGAGATGGCTCAGCAGTTAAAAGCACTGATTGTTCTTGCAGAAGACCTGGGTTTGAATCTCAGGATGGCTAACAACCATCCATAACTGCAGTTCCAAGGGTTCCAACGCCCTCTTCTGTCCTCTGTGGGTATTGCATTACATGGGTTTACTTAAATACCTGCAGGTGTAACACTAATACACATAAAATATGAATTTTTAAAAAAACTTAGCCAGGCGTGGTGGTGCACGCCTTTAATCTCAGCACTTGGGAGGCAGAGGCAGGCAGATCTTTGTGAGTTTGAGGCCAGCCTGGTCTACATAGTGAGTTCCAGGACAGCTGGGGCTACAAGGAGACCCTGTCTCAAAAAGACAAAAAAAATTTTAAAAGATTTTGTGTTGAACCACACACAGCTCATAGGACTAAGGGTTGGAAATGTCACAGAATACCAACAAGCCCAATAACAACATAGTCCAACTAGCCCTAACAGACACGGCCCTTTTTTTTCCAGTACACAAAGAACATTCTCCTAACTAGGTCTTCTGTTAGATCATAATTTGTTTTTTGAGACAGGCTTCCCTTTGTGACCCCAGCTGGCCTGGAACGTCTTATGTAGAACCTATGTCAATCTCTCTCATAGACATTCATATACACATTTGATAGGAGTGAAATTTGTGAGGGTGGAATTTACTTGTTATTCTATATTTGCAAAAACTTTTTTTTCCTTTGAGACAGGGTCTATATAGCCTTAGCTAACCTGGAACTCCCTATGTAGACCAGGCTGACTTCAAACTTATGGCCATCCTCCTGCCTCTACTTCCTGAGTGTAAGGGTTCTAAGCCAATCATCATGCTTGGCTCTGCAAATCATGCTTAAATTAACTGAAGACAGTATAATTTTGGCATCAAGGCACGGGTGGTATGGTAGCAAGCAAATTGTTATGGCATATATTATATTCAACTTTTATTCTGTAATAGGAATGAAAAACATCCCAAAACAAGCCCTTTTAAACAATGCTGCTAGAAAAACTGTCTAAACTCCCAAATCAGTGTTTTAATACATCTGAGATCCAAGAGGAATTAGTGGATGGGTTGCAGCTGAATTACCACAAATTTGTCCCAACTACTCTGCTCTTGCAGTATCATGCTACTGGCTTTTAAGGCTAAAAGAACTGTATACGCCCCACCTCCATTGGATTTGGTGGCCTCACAGTTAACAAGGTCTCTGGAGAAGCAGCACCATCTGCTAGGCAAAGTCTGCTGTACACCCATGTTGGCATTAAGCCAGTAGCAATAAATCTTCCCTTAGGCAACTCTAAACTTTACATCAGTTAGGCTTAGCAACCAAGGCCAGCCTTCCTAAAGGCCAAACAATAAATCTTTCTACTCCAGAATTGCTGATAAGACTAGAGAATCACCTTTGAGATCTTTTTCCCTCCTGAAACACTAACTTGGGCAATTGGTGTCACTGGGGGAAAGACAACTGAAATCTGGACCAAGACAGGAAAAAAGGGGCACACTCACTTTTTTGTCCCTCCTTACAAAAGGTGCTTATAAAATTCAATGTTCTGAGGGGTTTTTCCTACATTCCTTCCCAACAACATGAATTTAGCTCAAGTGGGTATTTTAGATTATTTCTTTTAATTATTTTCCTTATTACTATAACAAAGTATCTAGCCAAAGCAATTTAAGGGTTTATTTTGACTTTCAGGTCAAAAAGAAGTCCATGATGACACGGAAGTAATAGCAGTGGGACGAGGCCTCTGGTCACACTGCTATACAGCCAGGAAGCAGAATGCTCCAGCTCAGCTCAGCCCTGCTCTGCAGTCTGGGATCCTAGGCAATGTGGTGCTCACCCACATTGAAGGTGGGTCTTCCCACCTCAAGCTAATTTAGGAAACCCCTCTGACAGGCCTCCAGAGATTTATCTCCAAAGTGATTCTAGACTGCCAAGTTGACAATCAACATAAACCACCATACCTCTTAACCAATCTACTTCCTCCAGTTCTTAAACTATGTAAGAAAACACCTGGAAAAATAGTTCTGTACCAGGCATGGTGGCACACATCTTAAATCCCAGTATGCAAGAGACAGAGGCAGGCAAATCTCTGTGAGATCGAGGCCAGCCTGGTCTACATAGTTAGCTCCGGGCCAGCTGGGGCTACAGGGAGACCCTATATCAAAAAGACCAAAAAAAAAAAGTCAAAAGCCAGGTAATGGTTTGCTATTCCTTTAAAACATGCATGTACATCGCACACCTGATGCCACATCGCACACCTGATGCTGAAACTAAAAGGACGTCCTTCAGTTTTCCAGCTGCCCCACCCCCACCCCTCATGCTTATGGCAGGACATGGAATACAGCTCATGAAGCCATGTAAAGTGGAGAGAAGAAAATGTTTTTATTAATTACACCATGAAAATGACATGAAATCCTGTTAGAATGGAATCAGGATAACCACTGCTGTTAGAAAATTTACTTCTTCACATCCATTTTAGAAGAAAATACTACATATTAGGGCTCTTCTTGGTGTTACAGACTGTTTCAATAAAACTTTTTTTAAAAAATAGTAATTAACATATATTCTCATACTGTGCTAAGACATAGTTAAAAAGGCAACTATAAAATCTGTGGTGGTAACTGGCAGAGTCAGGAGTGTTTAACATAAGTGTCTCTCCGTGCACCTCCTTCACAAAGGCAAGTGCTTGCTAGGCACCACACAACTAACAAGTTTCTTAAGTAGCAGACTGATCCAGGCAGAAACAACTGCCTCTGTCTGTCTACATGGGGAGGCCAATGCAGCTGCTGGCACCTCCTAGCTCACAAGTCAGGGACAACTTGATACCCTGTGATGGCACAATACTCTTGGGAATGTCTCTGAAGCACTTCCAGTTTCTAAAACAAGGTCTCAGAGCAATAATTTCTCGAAACTACCTTTCCATTTTGGTACAACACTGCACATTTGATCTATATTTAGCAACTTCTATCAACTACACTCTGCCCTCAATAATACTTAGAGTTATGGTCTACATACAAAGCATCTTAAGTTTTGTGCTCACTGAACTGATAACTTTTTTTTTTTCACAAAGTGCCCACAGAAATTAATTTGAGCACACATCCATGCATATATACTTACATATGTATGTGTATACATAAGTAAATTACTTTAAAATTAGAATAAAACTAGACACTAGGGGAACAGTTCACCTTCCTCAGATTTCTGCTCTATGCTGAAGGCAGGTACAGTTCACTAAAGGATGTGATGAGGTTGTAGTATGTTTTCTCATCATCCGTTAATCCCGCGTTGCCAGGTCTCACCACCACAGCCACATGTACGTCTGCCTCCTCAGCAGCACTGGCCTCTGTGAAAATCAAAGTACAGGTCAGACACACCAAAATTTGAAGTATGAGACTGCAGTAAGGCCATCAGGGACACAAGAAGTGAGTTTGGCCTGGTTTTTATTGAAGCTAAAAGACAGGCACATTGAGGTCGAAGATTTGTATTATTCTTTTTTATACAGGTGAATTCCATGCTAAAAAAATATCTAGCTACACTGATAGAAAAGAATGGCAGCATAGCCTACACTGAGTTTCCTCAGGACCTACTCATGGATATAAGGCAGAGGCATGGTCTGGCCAGGTCCATCCTGAATTCTCGCCCATTAGGCCCACAGAGAGCTGAGCTCTTTATCAAAGGACAGGCTGTAGGCTCTAACAGCAATTAAGTAGTGACAGGACAAAAGGAACCCTGTGATCTAATCAGGCCCCATCATGCCACACCCCCTGCCTAGATGCCACATGGGTTTTTGCCTGGCAAATTGCTTCAAAATTCAGCTCAAAACATTACATCTTCCAGAACCGCCACTCTTATTTAGAGCAGCCTGTGCTAATCCTTTAACACTCTCTATTTAGCCATCAAAACAATACACACACTTTATTACTTGTTTCTTTCCTCATTAGAATATGAATGACCTTACGATCAGTGACTGGGGTAGCATTGGGTGAAGGGGAGAGTAAAACAAGATTAATCAAATTAAATTACGTAAACTGAATATCAAACACATCTCTAATATGCTTCCAGTTGCATGTCTCCATTCTATTTTTATTTGAAAAAAAAAACCAGCTATTGTCTTCTATAAATAGCATCTATGTGCTAGGTACTGTACTAGGACAAGAGGCACATGAACAGAACACAGCTCCTGCCTTCATGCAGCTCCTCTCCTCATCTCTCCTTCACAGTAACTCCAAAGTAGCCAGTCTGCTTATCCCCAGTCCTAGTCTACAGATGTGGAAACAGGGCACTAGCAAGAGATAGGGCTAAAACCTGAAACTGTCATGGCTGCCTCCATGGTCAGTGCTTTAAAACAAAGGCCGGCAAGTCACAGCCTGCTGCCAGTAAAGTACTGGCACACTACCACATCTGTTTATTTGCACACTGATTTTGACTAGCTCTGCACTACAAAGACAGCTGGATAGCTGTTAACAGACTCTGGACTGTAAAGCCGAGTATTTACTACCTGGCCCTTTAGTGAAAAAGCTTACCAACTCTTGCTCTAGTGGGACTCACCCAAAACTTGCTCAAAACCTGCATTCCAGGTCCCCAACATACAACTATTGAATTGATTTTTCTGCATAGAAGATGAGCAGAGATTAAAGACCTCAAGGAAAGAAAACAGGCAAAGAAGAATCCTAGGCAAAAATCAAACGTGCGTATAAATGTCCTTAAGAATAAAGCAAGCTATCACGGGAAAGATCACAGCTCTGAGGTCAAACATGAAGCTTACTGCGACAGAAAGGACACACTGGTCAAAACTCTGGAATCTACTGTATGGAGCTTTGATTTGGTATCAAAGTTTCAGCAATTTCTCAATCTTTAGAAAAGAGCTGCAGCACCTCAAAGAATTCACTGAAAGGCAGTGGTACCAAGAAGTCGTTCCTAGAGATGCTCAAGAGGCAAAAAGGGCTTCTTCCACCCACCACCTCAAGTTATCTATCTTATGCTCTTCTTGTAGAAGGCCTGTCCTCTTCCCAGAGTCCCCTCTGTACATGGGACTGCCTTCCTGCAGACACCACTCACACCAGAAAAAGAGGCTGCTGCCTTCTGCTCACTCCTACTTCCTAGCTGACCATCCATGACCAAATCTTCCATTTGATTATCACCCCAGGATCTCAGCTAAACTGGGCTTTCACGACACGCGTGGATCTTGACACCAGCTGGTGGCTGGTTCACATTCAGCTCCTTACTGCCATCACCATGGGCAAGTTTTGTCCTTAAGCCATATGTTTACTCTATTTAAACAATATTGGGACACTGATACAATACTTGCTGACTTAAAATTTGGGGTTCCTTTTCTTTTCTCCAAGGAGAAGACTTTTTGTTAAATAGTATTTTCATACATGTGCATAATATAGCTTGATTATCCACCCCCATCCTTCCAGAAACTCCATCACATCTCCTCCCCAACTTCATGTCCTCCCCTTTGTTATTTAACCCAGAGTCCGATTAGTGCTGCCCATATGACCCGATGTGATGTGAGGCCCAAGCCCTCTCCATGCTAGAACTCTTAACTGGCTTGATCTTGTGAAAGTAACTAGAGCCACTATGAGTTCACGTGTGCCACAGCCACGGCATTTCACAGCACTCGTCCCCACTCTCTGGCTCTTACACTCTTCCCTGCCCCCTCTTCTAGAGCGCTTTCTGAGCCCTGGAGGAAAGGCTGACATAGATGTCCCCTCTGTAGCTGGGCATCACAGCTATTTATTCTCAGTACTTTCCATTAACCACTACCCATTGCACTAAGAAGCTTCTCTGAACAAGACGGGAGCAACACAAATCTATAGATATAAGCATAAATACTTAGAAGGCAGTTTAACATGACCATTTAGAAAAACATCAACAGGTTCTCCCCTGGGGGTGACTTCCTTGGCCCTGGGTTTTGACCACGTTTACAATACCAGGCATGAATTCCTTCCTGTGGAGGAGGCCTCAAATCCAATCACACTGGCTGGTTATCCCCATAAACAGTTTTACCACTATTGCACCAGGGGCCATATCCTGCCTTATGAAACCCATTAATTTAGAAGCTAATTAAAAATATAATTAGAGAGTTTGAACAGAGGTACTCCACAATATCGAACAATACTGTTCCCAAAAGATCAGGTTATTAAATGAAAGTCTCAGTACCAGACAAGTTACCTCCCTGCTAGTTACTACTGGTCAAGGAAGCCCCAGGGGCACCCAAAACAATACAGGCTATTGCCTGCCCCCCCACAACTAGATGGTAAGACCTACTGCTGAAGCAGGACACAGACAAATCAATCTTGAACTGATCAGGAAACTCCCAGCTTTCTTCCCAGCCTTCTTAGTATTGGAAGGTGCTATGCAAGCTGCTGGGGAGAAAAGACATCAATGCTCTTATCCAGCACTAGATCCTGTATGTTGCAATTCCAAGAACATTTTCTGGTTTCTTCTTTCATACTTGGGTATCATTTGGAATATCAACTCGGTCTTCGGCTCTACCTTGGTAGTGGAAGAGTAGATGCATAGTACAAACACACAGGACGAGAGATGGCAGAAGAGCAAAGCAAAGCAGCCATGGACTATCCCAGCTACAGATACCTAAGTGTTGAGCCTCCTGGGGTATGGGGCTGGCAGATGAGGAGCAGGAATAAAATCTTACTGGAGACTTACGAATTATTTCTATTCTTTAAAAGTAGGAATATACACTCTGGTTTCCCTTCAATTGAAAGGAAACTGCCAACCTTAGGAAATGGCTTAAATGAGAAAAGACTTGACATTACAGACATCTAATTTTTTTAGTGGCTAAAGGCATGACTATGGAGAAAGTATAGTAGTAGAACAGGAGCTATGAACCACTGAGATCGCTCAGGTAAGGGTACCTGTAGCCAAACTTGATGATCTGAGTTCAAGTCCCAGAAGCCATATGGTAGGAGAGAACTGACTCCCTCAAGCTGTCTTCTGATCTTCACATGTGTGCTATAGCACACAGGACCTTCCCTGCACTCCATAAAATAAATGTAAACAGTGAAAAGGAATTAGAATTATTATTTTGTGTGCATAAATGTCTACACAGGTGCATGTGTGCTCTCAGGCATATGGAAGCCAGAGAACAACCTCGAGTGTCATTCCTCAGGGACCATCCACCTTTTTTTAAAGACAGGGTCTCTAAATGGCCTGGAACTCACCAAGTAAGCCAGGCTGGCTGGCCAGCGAGCCACAGGAATCTGCCTATCTCTTTCTCCCAACTGCTAGGGTTACAAATGCAGACCATTACCTGTGCTTCGATCTTATTTTTACATGGGTACTGAGGAAACAAACTTGACCAACTGAACTATCTCCCCAGTGCTAGTTGTAAATATCAATAAAGCCAAAAAGCCAGAGACAGAACCTAGGATGACAAAACAATCTATACATCTAACACAAGCACTGGCCACCTGGGTAAGGAGTTCTTGTCACAAGGCAGATTCTAATTCTAAGTCTGCAGAAAAATCAACCATGCAAAGTACTAAGGAAATTAAAGATAACTTAAACAACAGATTTTTCTTTATCAACTTCCTTTACATGTATGATTAAAGAAAAACAAATCCACAGATAAACCAGCTAAACTCATTCAGAATAAAGCCTAGTCAGAACATATAATCCCAACATTCAGGAGAGGTAGGCAGATCTCTGTGAGATCGAGTCCAATCTGGTAGAAAGGGCGACCATCTCCAAAAAGAAAGAAAGAAAAAAAAGCATCAAAAGCAGCAGCAAACAGAAAAAGATCTTCAAATTATCACAGAAACTTCTGATATACTCTACGCTTACCTGACAGTAAGGCAACCCCCCCCACTCTAGTGCCCCAAGCCACCAAAGTCCCTCAACTGTACAGTGTAGCTTCAAATCAGGAGGAGGCTCTACAGACCAACAGGACCACAAATGTTCCGGTTCAGAGGAGAGTGCAGATGATGGGGCTGGTGACGGTACATTTGGCTATCTATCTGTAATAAGCCTTGATCTGTCTTGTGCATCTGTCTCTCTTCCAGTTCAAAGTTTTCCAAGAAGTTAAAAGAAAAAAGATCAATTCAGAGAAACTCTGGGGCTTCAAAGCTGGCCTCAGTCAGGACATGCGGGAAAGCACAATCCTTAATTCAATCTGCTGCATTTGAGCCTTAAGGTGAGAAGGCTCTGAACTGTTACTATCTACCTAGATTACAAATTTCAGGCAAGTTACCAAGGACTGAACATTTTAATTTTTCTTTTTATTAGTATGTATTATATGAAAATGGGTTCACGGTGACATGTTCATACATGCATATAATGTATGCTTCCGATACTCACTTCCCTCTCCTGCACTCTTCCTCCTTCCAGCCCCTTTCTATTTTTTTATCTCTGTTTTTGGTGACCCAGTGAGTTTTATTAGGGTTTTTCACAAGATCCTAAGTGAGGACGATTAACTGCCTATAGATACTCAAAGGGGTGAGACCTCATGGGTCCCTCCCTGGTCCACTGCAGGATGTTGACAAGCCCAATCTTGTGCAGGTCTTGTTCTAGCAAATACAACTGCTGTGAGATTGATGCACTGGTGTTGTCATGATCCAAAGACAGCTTTAAACCCCATTCTACTCCTTCCTCCACCTCATCCACTCATGAGTGTGCGTGCGCATGTGTCAGGAGCCATGCTTGACTTAAGCATTGGAGAAAAGAAGATTGCCACTTTAAGAGCTTCTAAGCTCTCTGCTTCAGCGGTTTGAGCTGATAGGCTGTACCTCCATGATTAAGTAGGTACTACGGAAACTTAGTTTCGTTTCTGTCGACGGGCACCGGAGTTGGTGACGTAATGCAGCTACGTGCTGCGTCCTTAGTTACTTTCTGTTAGTAAAATATCCTTGGTGATTTCTTGGTAACCCCAAATCTGAATCCTATATAAGATCTGTGTACCTCACAACAAAAGGCCATTCCTTGATTGCTCACCTAATTGTAATAATCTACCTTTGAATAAATTCATCACATAACTTCAAGACTTTTGTCTTGGTTTCTTTCTTGTTGAAGACCCAAGCCTGGTGGGCTTGGGGGGTGTTCGACACGCATGTGGTGTGCGTTCATGCTCTCCACCTTACTGCCTAAAAGGCAGTCTCTCACTAAACTGGAAGCTCCTCATTAAACCAGAGGCTCCTCATTTTGGCTAGGCTGGCTGGTCAGTGAGGTCCCAGTTCTGCCTCTCTCTACCCTACACGATACAGGACTTTCAAATACACATAGTTATGCCTACTTTTTTATGTGGATGCTGGGGGTTTGAACTCAGGTTTCATACTTGCAAAACAGCAAGCACTCTTATTCACTGAGCTATCTCCCAGCCCTGAGCTCTTCTTTTCACCCTCTCTTCTACAGTGTGCCCTTGAAACAGATGTCTCATTCATGTCTGAGTCTTCAATAGTCCCCTATTCTTATCACTTCGGTGAGTTCTGAGTTTCTGCAGTTGCACTTACTACTGCCCCACTGTAAAGGGAGCTGACAGAAGCACTAATCCATAGGTATACAAATTATTATTTAGAGGGCAATTTGGTGGGCATATCATGTCAAGGACTGAAATTTTACAAAAACATGAAGAATTAGTGAATGTCTACCATACATCAGTAGAAATTAAGCCTGCTGTTAGGTTCCATCCCCAACATACATACACACATACATACACACATATACACACACACACGCACACGCACATAATGTTAAGATATAAGAGGGCTTTATGGTACACACACATGTCATGTTAAGATAGCATATATATAAACAGGGCTTTATGGTTTGAATCTGAAATGTCCCGCACAGGCTCTATTTAAGCACTTGGTCTCCACCTAGTGGCACTAAGTTTAGAGAAGTTGGGGAACCATGGGGAAGCAGGACCTTCCTGTCCACAAGTAGGCTGCCAGGGGTAGAACTGGAAGGCTAGAGCCCTATAGCTAATCTCTTCTCTGGGAGAAGTAGCAGCCACCCCAGCTACAGACTTCATCTCCTGAATTGCTAACCAAAATAAACCTCCCTTAAAGCTGCTTCCCTTGGGCAAGCCTTCTGTTCCACTGGCCCTCTCCCCACAAAAAAGCCCAGTTACTCACCTAAAGTGACATCTGTGAGAAATAGGATGTTGTTGGTAGAGCACCCAATACTATCTGCAATCTTTCGGTAACTCTCACTCTCCACTTTGTGTCCAATCTTGGTATCAAAATGACCATCAACAAGCTGAACAAGAATATCAATACATAAATATATGGATATGTAAATATACCACATCTGTTCACCTTACATCCCTTTTCTCTAAAATGCACAGTGATCACAGTGACTTCATGCTACACTTACTGAACTTACCTAACAAACTACTATATGGAGACTACAAAAAACAAAGATCTACAGTAATAAATATTGGAAGAAATATACCAGCTCAACCATAGACAAAACTGTAAGTCATTTGGTTGTCATCAGTATTCTTTTTTTTTTTTTTTTTTTTTTTTGGTCTGTTTGAGAGGTTTCCCTGTAGCCGCAGCTGGCCTGGATTCACTGATAGAGACCAGATGGGCCTCTAGTATTCTTTTTATAGCCAAAATCACTTAGAACAACACACACCCTATGTTCTATCCTTAAAACACTGTTTACAACCAGACTACTTAAACTGGGTTTTGCTCTTGATAAAAAGGTTGTGAATGGGGCTGGAGAGATGGCTTGGTGGTTAAGAGTACTTGCAGTTCTTGCAGAGGACCCAGGTTCAAATCCCAGCACCCACATGGCAGCTAACAACTGTCCGTAACTCCAGCTCCAGGGGATCCAATGGCCTCTCCTGTCCTCCTCGGGCACTGCACAACACAGGTGCACTTGCCTACGTGCAGGCAATACACTCATATACATTAAAAAAAATTTAAAAATTAAGTTAATATTTAATTAAGGTTTAGCTATGGTCTTCTTAAGAAGATCTCACTAACTAAAAAGTTTAAAATGATCACTCAAAGACAAAAAGGCAATATTAAGGTTTGGAGTTTGTTTGGCTTTTTAGAATTTATTATTATTACTGTTGTTGTTGTTATTATTATTAGTGTGTGTGTGTGTGTGTGTGTGTGTGCATGTGGGGGGGTTGGGGGCTGCATGCCACCAGTACACATTGGGGGGTGAGGGGGTATCTGGGGCTTCATTCCACCAGTACACATGTAAAGGTCAGAGGACAATTGGGAGTTGGTTCCCTCCTTCCACCTTGCTGAGGCAGGGTCTCTTCTGCACTTTCTGCCACACTGAATACTCAAGGCTTCTGAAGCATAGCCCATGAGTTTCTGGAAGATTCTCCTGTCTCTACCTTCTATCTCACTGTAAAGTGCTGGGATCACACATGCTTGCCACCACATCTAGACTTTTTAAAAGTGGGATTCATGAATCAAGCTCAGGTTGTCAGGGTTGCCAGGGAACAAATTCAGGCTCTCAAAAATCAGTCTTTGAGGCAAGCACCTTCACCTGCTGCCAGCCCCTCCACCTGATCTTTTTGAGATGTGGCTTCTCTCGCACAACCTGGAGCTCAGCAGTTCAGTTACTGGCTGGCCTTCAAGTCCCAATGATCCTCCTGTTTCCACCTCCCCCAGCACTGGGATTAGAGGCACATCCCACCACACCTGGCTTTTATTTGGGTGCTGAGGATAGAATGCAGGTCTTCTACTTGCAAGCACTTTACCCACTAAGTTACCTCCCCAGTCCCCATCTACATTTTTAAGAAACCCTCGGTGATCCTCATGCACAAGAAAAGTTTAATTAAGAGACTTAATTTAAAAACTGTTTTACAGCCAGGCATGGTGGCACAGGCCTTTAAACCCAGCAGGCAGATCTCTGTGAGTTCTAGACCAGCCTGGTCTACACAGTGAGTTCTAGGTCAGCTGGGGCTACAGGGAGACCCTGTCTCAAAAAAAAAACAAAAACAAAAACACCACTGTTTACAAATATTTCACCTTTCTATACAAGGTACTCCTCAGTTTTTCCACTTCTTTTGTTTTGTCTTTTTGAGACAGGGTCTCCTGTAAGTGCAACTGTCGGAATCCCAATTTGCTTATAACTACATTCTTTTATCATTTAACATTTCATGCTCTGATAATATCAAAACAAAGTAACCTACCTCAAGAATATCACCCTCTGTAGAATGCCCAAATAACAGTTTCTGTGCCTCTACACTCCCTGAAGAGTAGATATACACCTTCATTCCAGCCTCTCTCCACTTTCTCACAGCTGGGACTACATCCGCAAAGAACCTAGAGGGAAACAATAGTTACCAAGCAGGACACACACACACACACACACACACACACACACACACACACACACCATCTAGCCACGAAAACCAGACAATACACAGATGCCACAAGGCTTCTTCCCCCTGCTCAAATGGTAACCTGAGAAGCGCCTCCATGAGACTGGAAATTCTTGTGGTTGATAAATGGATGACTAGTGTCCTGATCAAAGTGGCAGCCACAATGGCAGTGGAGAGAACAGCACTCAACAACAGAAAAGCACAGGGGCAAAATAAGGAAGTAATTTCTTAATTCTCAAGGACCCAGCTCAGCAGTTAAGAGCACTGGTAGCTCTTGCAGAAGGACCCAGGTTCAATTCCCAGTACTCACATGGCGGCTAACAACCGTCTGTATCACCAGTTTCACAAATTCTACTGTCCTTTCTGGCCTCTGAAAGGCATTGCATGCATGGGTACATTTACATGCAGGCAAAACACTCATACATGAGAAATAAAAACATTAACAAATAAAGTATTTAAACAATATAAATGACATCAATAGTACTGTGTTATTATATCAGCTGATGTAATTTATTATAAGAAAAGACTAATTTACGTTCATGGTGCTTTAAGAAAACACGAAAATGCTCTTAGAAAGCTCTGCATCCGAAACAACAAAAAGAAAAATGTCTGAGCACTCAAGGTTCTAAACCTTTGATTGACTAGAAAATGAAATCTCACTTCCTCGAGACCTAAGAAAATCTAGTTTTTTATGTACAACAAAAAAGCAAAACCAACAAGTACAGAGCAAACATGCTGAGACCTGTAGCATCTCACAGTAGCTCATCAGCACACAGTGCTTGGCCTTCTAGTTCCTGACCAGGTTGTGTCTTTATCAATCCCAGTCATAAATCCACACTTGGTGAAAGAAATAATATGACAGGAAATAAATGAAGAACACAAGGAACTTAGGATGCAGAACTAATATTCTTTAAAAGGTTAACTGGAAAATGTCAAATACACCTTCTATTCAATAAAACAGCTTAACATTAGTTGAAAGAGGCAGACACATTAAAAAATTGGTCCATATAACTGTGTTACTTTGGCTTTTTCTGTGTTGAATCTGTACAATCACTGCTCTAAAACAGAGCTTAGATAATTTAAGAGAATCTATCCTAAATCCCTACTTTTAAAATTAGGAAACCAAGAGAATGGCTAACTACTAAGCACAATCACTTGGCTCTATCTTTTCAACATGAACTACCTTATATTTCTGGATCAATGGCATACCCTGAAATTCCAATGCATCCTTTAAAAGGTAGATCTTTGCAGCAGACATAAATGACACTTAACAAAATAAAATGCATGAAATACAAAAGAAAGACAGTGTCTTGTATCTGAGGGTTTACTTAAGGCAACTGACTAAAACCCCTAGTGGTTTTATCTTATTAAAAATCTCTGGCCAGGGGCTGGAGAGATGGCTCAGCGGTTAAGAACACTGGTTGTTCTTGCAGAAGATCCAGGTTCGAATCCCAGCACCCACATGGAAGCTAACAACTGTCCGTAACACCAGCCCCAAGGGATCCGACAGCCTCTTCTGACCTCCACAGGCATTGTACAACATGGGTGC